TACTTCAATTAATACAACAAAAAATTTAATTTGTTTGTTTAGTTAAGCTAGCCAATTAGACTTTTTATAGAATTTATTGAGGTAAATACTTGATAATGCTTCATTTTACAACAAATACTTGTAGATAAAATATATAATAATAAAAAGCAGAGTCTTAAAAAAGTTTAATATAAAATTAGCTTAAAACTATAAGATTTGATTTTGGTTACAAAGCAAATATGAGTTTACAATTATATACAAATCTGTTTTTAAACAAATTATTTATATAGATTTATAAATTTGAAATCTTAAATTACTATATTCAAAGAATTAAAACTATTTCATGTTAACAAATATTTAGATCTTAATATTATACTATCATATTTGCTCGTAATAGTAGACTGAACATTAATTCAAATTTTAATTTTTAAAATTTTTTTAGCTATTTGGCTTAAATATTATCTGTACATATCATAAAATAATATATATTCATCTTTATATAACTTAATACTTTATTTTGAATACTGGTATTATAATAAAAATTTCTTTACAATTACTCTTATTAATAATCAACTAGCATTAAATCTTAACTCTGATAAATATCTGTCATGTATAAATATTCTTCTTCTAATTCTAAAAGTAATACTAGACAGTATTTCAAAAAAATATTATTTTATTTGAAATAAGTATATATTTCAAAATAATATGCAGAGGTACAAAAGAAAGTATAAAATATATTATTACATAAATACTATATAATGAAAAAGGCTATTAATAAAAAGTTATTCATCATATATCAAAATTTGAGAATAAGTAAAAGATAGTATTTTGAACAACTTAGTAGATTGTATTTTATTTAACAAAAAATTCTGTTTCTTTATAATATATTTAATTCATTATTTTACTCATATTTGAATTAGTAATATTATTATTGTTTTGAAAGAGTATTATATAATAAATGCTAAGTTAAACTCCAATAGTTAATTTAAATATATTTTATATATCAAATATTCAGAAATAAAGTCTTTAAATAATATGATTGCTTATATAAATATCAGGTTAGTAGCTTGTTTATACAATATAATAGACTTTATATTGAATTAGAATTTAATTACTTAAAATATATTGATTATACTTAAGTAATTATAACAAAGGTAATAAGTATAATAAATATATTACTGATCTATTTAATCTAATCAGAGTACAGAGTTTAAGTTATAATAAAACATAATTTGATATTTTATTAAATAATTAACAAAGCAAAATTATTACTAATAAAATAAAAAAAAATTGATTATTCAATAAACTTTTCACTTTTAAATACTTTGAGAATTTGATTTCTAATATCTTATTTATATTCAAGATATCAAAGTCTAATAAAATTTTTATTAGAGTGAAAAAAATATCTTTAAATATATTTTTCTTTCTACAACAAGTAACTACAATATAGTATCAATTCTATTTACAATTTAGACAACAATATTTATTTTTTTTCACTTCTATAAATTATACCTAATTTAGTTTTTAGTCCTTTAACAATTAGTTCAAGAAATCCTCCTATTAATAATCTATTCACTACTAGTTATCTTATTTGATAGACAACAGACCTATAATGATACTAATAATAACTAGTTTCTACTCTATATAAATATATTTATCAGATATATCTTGTATACTGTTCTTACTATTGTAGCTAATAAAAAATAACAAAAATAAATAATAAAAAAAAATAATAAAAAAAAAAATTGTAACTATCTAAGCTCTGGGAAATATGTTATGAGAAGAACTATAATAGTATATAGCAAAATGATATTTAATCTAAATTAAAATTTTTACTCAATTTTGTATATAGTACTTTTTATCTCTATTTGAGTATTACTAAGAAAAAATCTGTAAATCTTGTTAGATAAGAGTTATAGATTTTCTTTTAGCAGTACTCATTTAATTGATTAAATGAAATAAAAAATTTGTCTTAAAGTTTTTTTTGTTGTATACTAAGTTATATTTTTATTTTTTTTTAAATATCATTTATTTGTTTGCTATAAAGTTAAAATAATTAAATTGTATACATAATTTTAGAAGCTTACAAAAATTCACAAATTAAAAAGAAGATAAAGCTTTTGAATGAAATCATAATATATAATAGCAAAATAATACATTATTACCTTGTATAATTGTTAATATATATTTAAAAAATTCAATTTACAAACTAATTTGAAGTACTATACACTATTAACTAAAGTATCTCCTACTATAATACTCTTTATAAAAAATATCTGAATATAATTTATAGGTTTATGATTCAGAAGATTGAATAAAATCTAGGTATTATTCTAGTCTGATATATATAATATTTATATTGAATCCTTATTGAGAGAGTACTATTCAAGAAATTTGATAGTTGATTAAATAGTACCTAAGATACTTTAGTCAGTAGTATACAGTATTTCAGATTATTTTATTATTATTATTAACTTCATTAAGTAAATGATTAGTATATTTATAATAATTAAATTTTATAATAATGTATCAAATTTGTAAAAAAATAAAAAAAATATACTTATAAAAAGATTTAAAATATATTTGTTAAAAAAATTTATATTTTTCATGATTGCAAAAGAAAAATAAAATAAATACTAATTTTACTATAATGAAACAAATAACTTCTATCTTTTGTACTATTTCTTTTATAAAAAGTGTTTTAAGCTCAGAAAAATATTGTACTGAGTCTGTAGTCTACTGAACAGTAACTAACAAATTTGTTGAATATAGATTTAAAGTCTTTTATATAGAAGAATTATCATTTATTAAAGAATTAACTAAAAAAACTATCATTATAATAATTAGTTATTTTGCATTCAAAGATGAATTAAATATAAAAATAAAACTTAATTTGTTTATACTAGAGATACAGGTGAATTGTTTTAATGATTGCTATAACTTAACTATAATATATCATAGCTATCACTATAACTGTAACTATAACATAATTATAATATCATAAGCAGAAGTTTATCTTATTGACTAATAACTTCAATTTAATTTTTATATTATTTATACAGTTTAAAATACTTTTTAAAAAAATAAAAATCAATCATAATAAAAAAAAAACTATATAAAAGGTTTTATTAAAGCTATAAGACTTCATAGCTAAAAATAAAATCTAATTCTCATCTATTTAAAAAGATTAGTATAGTAATAACTTCTCAAAATCTGATAAAATCAAAATACTACTAAGCTAATTTTTTTAAATAGATAAGAATTAGATTTTATTTTTGGTTATAAAGTCTGATAGCTTTAATGAAACCTTTTATATAGTTTTTTTTTTCTTTATTATAATTGATTTTTGTTTTTTCAAAAAGTATTTTAAACTGTATAAGTAATATAAAAATTAAATTGAAGTTATTAATTAATCAGATAAACTTCTGCTTATAATATTATAATTAAATTATAGTTACAGTTACAGAGATAACTATAGTATATTACAGTAAAGTTATAGCAATCATTAGAATGATTTACTTGCACCTCTAGTTTATATTAATCTAAAAGAAAATAGTAGTTATAATATAAGTGATTTAATATATTACTCTTTCTGATGATTATTTGAACCAACTTTTCAAGAAGCTGAACTACAGAAAAATGATATAGTTAATATATTAATCTTTAAAAGAAACCTTCCTAGAGTACTATACTCATATAGTTAAATATTGAAATAGAGTTGAAAAAGAGGTTGCAGCTTTATAGAATAGTTTAAAGCACTCTGGAACTATAGAAGAAGTAGTTGTAAAAGCTAAAGTTTTTTTTTTTGAGTAAACAACAAAGTTGGATATATTAGTTTTATATAATTATAAAACCTACTAGGAATATCTGCAAAGGTTCAAAGACTTACAATATCTACAAAGTTAGTTCATCTCTCATTTTTATTTTTCTTCGAGAATTTTGTAAAAAATAGGTATTTTAGTTTACCTCTTTCTAAAGATCAATAGATACAACTTCCAAAATAGTTAGCAGTATTTACTTTCTAAATAGGTTTGTTAATGATCTAGATCAAAACACAATAGTAATACAAATATAACTATATAAGTACCTTGAAGATACTAGAGCTCCAAAATACTGCTTCTGAACTAAACAGTAACCAATACTGACTCTCTATAATCAAGTCAAAGTTTTTTCTTTTCTACATAGTTTTTTAATAAATATTCTAATTAAATAAGAAAATAGTAGAGTTATTCTTATTTAGTATAGTCTATAATTTTTAAAGCCTATTATAAGCTTAAAATATAATTATCTAATATTTGTGAAATGCAAATTTTATATTTCTTTTCTTTTCTTTTTTTATTCCTTCTCTCTTTTATTTTTTGATCTGTATTTTTTATTATTTGCTCCTACACCTTCTTTTTTTATGTACTTAAAATTTTTTTTTTGTTTTTTGCTTTTCTATGAGAAGATATTATTAAATTAGTGGTATCCTATTATAGGCAGCAGTTAGATGAAGCAGTTTATCTCTGAAGTAAATAGTGTAGCAGGTTATACTTAGACCCTTTATGAGAACTAGATAATGCTAAACTTAAGAAATTAGTTAAATTCTTTAAAATTGTATAGTTTAAGAAATCCAATAAAGTATTAGCATAACTGCTAAAAGTTAAAAAAAAATATAAGTAATTTAATTTTATACTTTCATATTAAGGTAATGATTTCTCAAAATATAACTTTGCAAATTCAAGTATTACAAAACAAATTTACTATTTATGATCTTCTAATTGTATCTGCTTTTAGAATTTTCTCTGCTCCTGTTCAAGACTCTTCTGAACTACATGGTAATAATATTATTTTTTATTTAAAAAAGAGAGTCTATAATAGTATAAATGGAAAATATACTAATTTGTTAGTTATATATAAGTATAGTCTGAAGAGTTACAATTTGAATGTAGCTAAAGCTACAAATCATCAAACTATTTTTTCTGTTATAGATGAATTAGTATTTGTTAAGAAATTAGTTTTTATTTTGTATAAAATAATAAATGAAATTATCTAATACAAGAAAATTCAAAATTGCATTTAAAAAACAAAGGAATAAGGAACTTACAAAAATTGTAAAAATTTTTGAATTCAAAAAACAACAACAAACTAAAGACAAATTCTATATAGAAAGTATCTTCAATACTCAAAAAAATATCTCAAAAGTTGTAACTATTTTAAAAAATTTTAGAGGTAAAAATTTTATTATATAAAAAATTTTAAAAATAAATTAGCAGATTTGCAGAATTGTATATATAAAAATAATTTAAAAAGTAATTAACAATAACAATATAAAACTTTTATATCATTATTGTTAATTATTAGTTATTCTTTAAATTATTTTTATATATATTTATATATTAAAAAACTTATATTAAATAGTAATCATATAGTTTTTGAGAATGTATTTACAAATCTATATTAATTTCACAAATTTGCTAATATAAAATACTTACTAGCTTATTATTATTATTATTATTATTATTAACTCTGAGGTAATATCAATTATCTGGAGACATCAAGTGATATTATTACTTACTAGCTTTTTTATTATTATATCTATATATAATTATTATTTTTTTTTTTTAAACTATTATGAAAAAATTTATTTTATTATCATAAAAATCTAGAAGAAAACAAACAAGATAACTTATATATAAATAAAGATTGTTATCAGGTAACTGATATCTATAAATACAAGATACTAAAGATCTTAAAGACTTCAATAATTCTATTACTATTAGAGACACTGAAAATTCTGATAATTCTAATACAATTTAAAAAATTTTATATAAGAAACAATACCAGTAATATTTCAAATCTATTAGACTTGTAGAATTATTAAGTATATATATATAAAAATTGGTTAATTAATAATATTGTCATCATATATACTTGTTGAAAATAATAAAGAAACTTTTGATTCTTACTTTAAATTGCTTTGTTTCTGAAGTAGTTTTTTTTTTTTTTTATATATTTATTTTTTAATAGTAATATTCATATTCTATTACTTGAAAAACTTATAATTACAAAAAATATAATATATACAATATATATAGTAGCTTATGCTAAAATTAGCTTATGTTAAGGATTTGATTTATTTTATTATAAAATTTTAAATTTTTTTTAAGCTTTTTGTATACTATTTTTTTTTAATGTTTAGTTAAACTTTAGGTTTAAAGTTATTAATAAAAGAATATATATAGATTTTAGCAAGTATTATAGATTTTAATAGAGATCTAAAATCTTTGTATAAGCTAATCTTAGCTTAAGCTACTATAATACATATTGTTCATTTATAGGATTCAAGCAATATAGCAAGACCAACTCTAATATAGTTAAAACTCTATTTGTTAAAATCTAAACTTTAATTGATTATCTCTATTTTTTAGCTAATCAAATTTTTTTAACTCATAATAGCTTATAGAAGTGATCTAACATATAATCTAATCAAGTAGTTTAAAACTAAAATTGCAAAAATGTTTAATTAATTAAAAATTTTACTTTATAACTTTTTTTTGTTATACTATATAAATTACTTAGTATAAAAATTGTCTAAAAAAATAGTATGTATATGAAGTAAACTAATTTTTTTGAATACTTACTAGTCTTTAAGTAATTTCTGCTAATAATAGCTAAAAGTGTTAAATTGATAAAAAATATTAAACTGTAATTTTTTTAAAAATACTAGATGAATTATTTGCTACAAATTTTATAAAAAAAAGTAGCTTGTATATGAGATAAAGTGATTATATCAGAAGCTATAATATTATATAACTAATCAGATAATTTAAAACAAAAAATTGCTTCAATACGTAAAAATAACTAATTAATTGAAAATTTTATTCTGTAACTTTTTTTTATTATACTATGTAAATTATTTATTATAAAAATTACTAAAAAAATAGTATTTATATGAGATGAACTAATTTTTTTGAATACTTACTAGTATTTGAGTAATTTCTGCTAATATAATAGCTAAATATGCTCAATTAATAAAAAATATTAAATTGTAATTTTTTTTTATAATACTATACGAATTGTTTACTACAAAAATTTATAAAAAAATAGCTTGTATACAAGGAGAAGTAATTATATCAAAAGTATAATATCATATAACTATCAGGTAATTTGAAACAAAAAGTTGCTATTGTATCTAGTGATCTTAGTATAGTGGTTAGATTGCCAGACTACTATACAAGAGGTCTAGAGTTTAAATCTTACTGTCAATAAATTTGAATAATTACCTGAACCTTTGTACCCAACTTACAGTAAACTCTGCTCGTTTCTGAGGGTTACAACCCTGTAAATCATGTTGCATTAATATCAATTAGATATTAGAAGTGTAATACAATACTCAAGTTATGTTACACGAATAAATCTTGATAGGATCTACAAGCAGAGAACCTGCATAGTAGAAATTCTGAGTTTAGTAAAGTAGTACAGATTTTGATAGTTAAGCCAGTTAATGCTTGATCTAGTGAAAAACCTGAGTATGAAGAATGTGAGATCGATAGATGTGAGTAAATTCACTATATAATGTAGCCTGGTACTTTGTATTAGTAGCAACACTAACTTGGCTTAGCAGCTAACTAGATTAGGAGGATTTACTTCATAAAATATCTAGCTAGAACTTGGAAAACTATACCTGGTAGATGGCTATAGCAAGAACTGGGTTTGTACAAACATCGACAAGAATCTAATTCAGGTGAATTTGTGAAATAGACATATGATTACTCTGATAAGAATTACTTTCAAGATTAACCAGAGATCTGCGGCTCATAATACGTTAGATATATGCATCTCAAAAGGACCTAAGCTGTGCAGAGAATAGATCCATAGGTGAACTGGCTAGCTTAAGCAGTTGGTCATAGTGGTGATGTCAGTTTGAGATAAGGAGAAGGGTTAATAATCAGAGTGTTTAAATAGGTAACTCATAAGCGGGTTGCAGGTATAGCAGCATAGTATAGAACCAACAGATAGTCAATTATCTGTATGGCAAACTACTTAAATTAGATAATGATTAAAGTTGTATGTGTTGCTTGTTATATACTCATCATGTAACTATAAAACCTTTTGAAACTGTTCATGTGATAGTTCTATAATAACTTACTAATAAAATCTAATCAGCCAAAGAAGTAGCCTTAATAACATGAAAAAAACAAAAAGTTGCTTTAATATGTAAAAATAACCAATTAATCAAAATTTTACTCAGTAACTTTTTTTTGTTATACTATGCGAATTATTTATAATAAAAATTATAAGAAAAAAATAACAAAACTCTTTCCCGTAGATTATTTTTACAAAAATAAGCAGAAAATATTTTAGCAAAAAAGTAATAAAAACCTTCTAACTATTACAAAAAACTCTTGTAAAAGAGTCTCTAGACACTCTATACTAGTCTTTATACTATATAGAATTAGTCAAAATAAAAAGAAAATAGAGAGATACTAAAAACAAAGAAAACTATCCTCTACTGAAGGGTACTACTACTTATATTTCTACATTGCAGACTAATATCAAGTCTAGTACTACTAATAACAATATTATGGAATCTAACACAGTCACTAGTAGCAGTAAAAGCTATATTCTAATACTAGAAAATAACAAAAACATAAAAGCTAACAACTAAGCTACTAAACGCTAAAGATTTAACTCTCTTAGAATTTTACAAATATCAAAAAGTAAGGAAAACAGCTTACCTCTATTCAAATCTACTAGGAGATCATATGTTATATATAACACAACAGTAAACAATCAAATAAAAGGTGAGAATAATATGACTAATATTATTACTAATAATAGCAACACACAAATTGCCATAAATAGCAAGGACATAGCACAAGCAGACCAATTGCAAAATAGCTATAACTCTTCTCATTACAAGGACCTAGTTCACCTTTTAGATATAGAACTTCAATCAAATTCTACAATAGATAAAAACTCTTGTGCAACAAGTCCAACTCAACAGATATCTTACAGCTAAGCATTACAAGCAGACACAACAGATAATAAACTAATAGATACTGACAATACCAACCTATGGATAGATATCATCAGACAAAACATAAAACACAAAAAGTTAGCTCCTTTCAATAGCTAATTATAGTCTCTAGACAAGATATTTCAAAGTCTAAAATCTCTAAACAGCATCAAAAATTCATATAATATAAACTCAAAACAATACCTACACAGTATAAAATTCCTCCTGAAATCTTATTTAAATTTGTATACAAAGACACAGTATTTTTTATAACTTTTACAAGAACAAAATAACTCAAACTAGTACACTAAATAGAATTCGAACAGCTCTTTACTCAAGCATACAATAAATATAAAGAGTATAATAATATTACTATTACAGACAAGCCAACTAGAGATCTGATATATACAAAACTTAGGCAAAAAATTACAATAGATTTCCTCACAAATACAAGCTTTAAAAGTAATCTACAAAGAAGAAAATATGATATGATTAGATATTGCAAAGGTTTTATGAAAGACATATCACCAATGAAACCTGCTAAACTAAGAGAAATCATTAGTTAAGCTATAGAAGAAACTCTACCAGAGTTCCCTGAAATACCAGATCTAATTCCAAATGAAACACAAAAGTTACTTCTTTTTAAGCTCTCTATAATCAGACACTCTAACACACAGGCTATAGTTATATGTCTCTATACCTTATACAAATTTATAACTCTATCTAATAGCTACTTTAAAGTTTTGCTACTACTTTCTACCAAAATTGAAGATCTAGATCTATCTGTACATGCTTTCTTCCCAATAACAAACTGAAATGAACTTCGTAATCTAGAATTCTACAAAAGAAAACTTCAGAACTTCTATGAGCTGAAAGAAATTCCTAAAAACTTTTTTGACCTTCCAAAACCAAAAGAACCTCTCTCTTTTGCATACCAAAAACTTAACTTAAGAGTTAGAAACCTCTTTCTTATTAATCTTACAGACTCAAATCTTTCATTAGCACAGATTGTTAAGCTACTGAGAGAGTACTATACTTTCAAACAAATTCCAAATAATTTTTTCAAATCAAAGCCTAAATTGCCTACTGATATTTCTAAGATTAAAACTAATACTATATTTAGCTATCTAATTGATAATAATATAGAAGCAGCAAGATTCGTTCAAGAAACTAAACACTACTATTATTACAGTATTTTTCTACCTAATGCTATAATGATAGCAAATCTAACAAACAAACCTTGGGTCCTAAATAATCCAAAACAAATTGAAGACTTCAATTTAACACTACCAATTACTTTTCAAAGTAGCTAATAGAGACAGCATGAATGTTTAGACAATACTACTACTTCATCAAACTACTATCTACCTAAATAGATATCAACAATGATATAGAAACAACAAATAATGAAGCAGAGACTACTAAGCCTGCACTTCTACAAACAATACAGAAGATAGTAAACTACCTTATATTGAAAGAAATAGATAATACAACTAACTTACTACTAATAACTGAGCAAACAGAGGTCACTCTAACACTTGACCTCCTCTACTAACACTTTACCTTCAACAATATTTCTGATATATTACTTAAACTTCCCCTACTTCCAGAGCCATTTTGAGAGATCTTTAATCAAACATATGAGTACTAGACCCTCTACAAATACTACTAAATAACACTAAACCTCACTTACAATAGCAACACACAATATACAAGAAATGAATGACAAAACTAAATTTCAACAATGGATAGAATTCTGCAATATAAATAGCCTAGATATCATCAGTATTACAGAAACTAGCAAAATTACACTTTATTAAGCAAACATTAACTAACCCTTACTACTATTTATTTATCTCTAAAACAACTTTTTCTGATGATCCTTTTTTGCAAAAATTCAAAAAAGCAAAAAACAAAAATTTTATTGAGGAAGATGAAGAAGTTTCTTTTACAATACAACGGTTTTTA